ACTATTTACCATACTATAGAACGATACATGAGGTTTTCATAGCTCATTAAATCTGATAGAACTAAATAATTCAAAACTAAATAGATGCCAAATTTTACATTTTACATTTTTAATGGAAATGAAAATGTTTTAGGAATGGATTTGTTTTTGTTTTGAAATCTTCATTTTCGGAAGAGTTTTATTCTTTTCAGATTTTGTTTGTCATTTTTATTTCAGTAAAATTTCAACCAAAAAAAAAAAAAAAAGGTTTTGTCCATTTTGTAAACCGGCATTACCATGTCTAAGGGTAAAATCGTCTTTACCTACTTTGTCTAAGACAGAAATAAAACCCTGAGCTCATGTCCAACTTGAATATACACAGAAACTTACCATATACCCTCGATCTGAAACATACACGTGTCAATTATCCTACGTGTCATCATCACACAACACAACCGGATACAATCGTTAAACCTAACGTCACGGAACCACTCGCCTTCCCGTTGAATCCACTATTTGCCAAACTCGTTTAAAACCTTTTAATCCCAAAATCCAAATATACATATATATACAGATAGACACATATAAACCAAATTATTGATCATTGGAATCTCGAATTTATTCGGACATGTCATCGTGCTAATTAAAGACGTCGAGTTTTGACGGAAATTTAATCGATGTCGTCGGAGAAATTGCTAGTTACTAACGGCGTTAAGTCTGACGGCGTCATCAGAAGAACCAGAACTTACGGAGCTGATGCGGCGGTGGCTTATTCTCTCGGCGGTGGATGTCATATATTCGACGAGCTTCCGAAGGCGGCGATCGTCTCCGTCTCGCCACCGGATACTACCGATTTTAGCCCCTTGCTTCTTTCTTACACCTTGGAGCTTCAGTATAAACAGGTATGTATACGCCTATACATACAACATGTTTCACAATGTCTGACTTTTTATTTAGAAGAAATTGATTTCCTCTGTTCAATTTGTCATTAGTGTTTGATTTTCTGCAAAGAAATCACAAAGAAGAGATTCAATTTGACAGAAAATAGAAGTTTGTTTTATGGTTTTTTTTTCTCCATGAGTTTGTATTCTGTATTAATTAGTAACAAACAGAGATTTTGAAACTGTTATGCTCTGTTTTTGGTATATGTTTAGTTCAAGTGGACATTAAAGAAGAAAGCTTCTCAAGTTCTCTACCTGCATTTTGCTTTGAAGAAACGTTTGATCATCGAAGAACTTCACGAGAGGCAAGAACAGGTTAGAATAGTTCCGGATTTGCTAACAAAAAAAAATCAAAACAAGAAACAAATTCTTCAACTCGAAAATTTGCGGTTTTCGACAGGTTAGAGATTGGTTGCATAGCTTGGGGATCTTTGATATGCATGGATCAGTTGTGCAAGATGATGAAGAACCCGACGATGGTGCTCTTCCTCTGCACTACACTGAAGATAGTGTCAAGAACAGGTGCTTTTAAAAGTCAGTTTTTGTGGATTCGAGAAAAAATCGATGACCGATGTTTCGAGCAAGTTTCTGAAACATTAGATTTCAATGTTGTGCAGGAATGTTCCTTCGCGTGCAGCGTTTTCAATCATGCGTCCTACGATAGGCCGGTCAGAGACGGTTGTAGACCGTGGAAGAACCGCAATGCAAGGCTACTTGAATCTGTTTCTAGGGAACTTGGACATTGTAAACTCCAAAGAGGTTTGAGTTCTTTTCGCTGGCCATGGCTGTGAATCTTTTACTTGCGGTCTCCATGTTTCTTGCGTCACACTTAAAATGTATCCGCAGGTCTGCAGGTTCCTGGAAGTTTCTAGACTCTCGTTCGCTAGAGAATATGGTTCGAAAATGAAAGAAGGGTATGTCACAGTGAAGCACCTGAGGAATGTCGCAGGGTCTGATGGTGGCTGTTTTCCTTCTCATTGTCTCGGCTGCTTCGGAACTAGCTGGACAAAGGTTTGGACAAACTAAACTCGGATTTGTGTAAACTGTCCGAAATTTTCTCGCTCGGATGAATAATTTCCGCTTCTTCCTTTTTTTCCGGACTTTTTCAGGTTTGGGCGGTCTTAAAACCGGGATTCTTGGCGTTGCTAGAAGATCCGTTCAGCGGAAAGCTTTTAGATATAATGGTGTTTGACTTATCGCGGTTCCAGGATGCAAAGGAGTGTTCAGAGCAACCGCGTTTGGCTGAACAGGTGAAGGAACGCAATCCGTTACGCTATGGCTTTAATGTGACAAGTGGGGACCGAACCGTGAGGCTAAGAACTACAAGCTGTGGGAAAGTTAAAGAGTGGGTTAAGGCTGTGGGCGAAGCTGGTTGCTACAGTCCACATCGTTTTGGTTCGTTTGCTCCACCTAGAGGCTTGACATCAGATGGAAGTCAGGCTCAGTGGTTCGTAGACGGTCACACTGCGTTTGAAGCGATCGCATTTGCAATCCAAAACGCAACATCAGAGGTTCCATTTCTTTGCAACTCGTAATTGATAATCATAGCGTAAAGTACTATGATTTTAATGGAGTTTTTTATTTATAAAATTCATCTGCAGATATTTATGACTGGTTGGTGGTTATGTCCGGAGCTATATCTCAAACGCCCGTTTGAAGATCATCTGTCATTGCGGCTCGATGCATTGCTAGAGACAAAAGCAAAACAAGGTGTTAAGGTATGCTTAATAAGATTACATTTCTCTCAGTGGATTCGATTGGTTTTTGTTGTAAACGCAAATGCTAAATTTTTAAAAATTTATGGCAGATTTATATTCTTCTATATAAGGAAGTTCAAATCGCGCTGAAAATCAACAGCATGTACAGCAAGAGACGGCTTCAAAACATTCACAAGAACGTCAAAGTTCTTCGTTATCCAGACCATCTCTCCACTGGCATTTACCTCTGGTACAGTATTAACCGAAAGCTGCGGATCTGCTTAACAACTTAGCTATAACCAAAGATGAATTCTTTGGCTTTTTCAGGTCGCACCACGAGAAGATAGTGATTGTAGATTACCAAGTTTGCTTCATTGGAGGGATAGATCTGTGTTTCGGCCGATACGATACAGCGGAACACAAGATCGGAGATTGCCCTCCTCATATATGGCCAGGAAAGGATTATTATAATCCTCGGTAAGATCCAGAACTTGTCTGAATCTTTTCTAACAAAAGAAATTATCTTCTCATGAATTTCTGTATCTATCATCAGAGAATCTGAACCAAATTCATGGGAAGACACAATGAAAGACGAGCTAGACCGGAGAAAATACCCAAGAATGCCTTGGCACGATGTCCATTGCGCTCTCTGGGGACCGCCTTGCCGCGATGTGGCTCGGCATTTCGTCCAGCGGTGGAACCACTCTAAGGTAATGACAATGTAGAGAGAGATCGATACTGTTGTGGTCTTTTAGCATTTGCGTTTGGAAATCATGGTTCTGATATATTTTAGTCTTTGTTAAATTAGAGAAATAAGGCACCTAATGAACAGACGATTCCATTGTTGATGCCTCACCACCATATGGTTCTCCCTCACTACTTGGGAACTAGAGAGATCGATACTGTTGCGGTTAAAACCAAGGAAGACCCCGAAAAACCCGTTGTTCTCGCAAGACAAGACTCTTTCTCCTCGGCTTCATCACCCCAAGATATCCCTTTGCTTCTCCCGCAAGAAACCGATGCTGATTTGGCCCGCAGAGGAGGAGATCTGAGGTTAGATAGTAGTTCAAGACAAGACCACAATCGATCTAACAGTAGTGATGAGTTTCCTGGGGAAACTTCAGAGGAAAGTGACCAAGACGAGGTCGCGAACGAGTGGTGGTGGCAGATTGGGAAGCAAAGTGATTGCAGGTGTCAGATTATCCGAAGTGTTAGCCAATGGTCCGCTGGGACAAGCCAGCCCGAAGATAGCATTCATCAAGCTTATTGTTCGCTTATCGAAAACGCTGAACATTTTATCTACATTGAGGTATAAAGTAATCGTTCAAACATTTTCAGATAAAATATCTTGATCTCAGATTAATCTAATCTCTTAATCTCCTGCTTTTTACCAGAACCAATTCTTCATCTCTGGGCTAGAAAAAGATGACACGATCCTAAACCGCATTCTTGAAGCATTATTCAGACGCATTCTGAAGGCTCATGAAGAGAAAAAGTGCTTCCGCGTTGTGGTCGTTATACCGCTCCTCCCTGGATTTCAGGTACTGTTTGCTTCTTCCAATCGCAATAATAAATTGTTAACAGAACAAAACCGCGATGCCAATCATTTTTTTATGTTGACATATAACAGGGAGGTATTGATGACTTTGGAGCAGCTACGGTTCGAGCACTGATGCATTGGCAATACCGTACGATCTCTAGAGAACGAACTTCGATTCTTGACAACCTTAATGCCTTACTCGGTCCCAAGACAAAAGATTACATCTCTTTCTATGGTCTGAGATCATACGGAAGGTTGTTCGAGGGTGGTCCGATTGCCACTAGCCAGATTTACGTGCACAGCAAACTAATGATTGTTGATGACCGGATTGCGGTGATCGGATCTTCCAATATAAATGACCGGAGTTTACTAGGCTCAAGAGACTCCGAGGTATTCCACAACTTCATTTGATTCTTTATGGAAGCAAAGAAAATGAGTTTTGTATATCATTTAAAAATCGCTTGTGTTTCAGATCGGAGTTGTGATCGAAGACAAAGAATTTGTGGAATCTTCGATGAACGGAGTGAAGTGGATGGCCGGAAAATTCTCGTATAGTCTCAGATGTTCCCTGTGGTCAGAGCATCTCGGCCTTCAAGCCGGAGAGGTAATTTTTCGAATCTGCTAAAAACGTCTACACTTTACAATCTGACTTCAAGAAACCTTTATTTTCATTTGAGTCTATGTAAGCCAATAGACTTTTTTAGTATTTTGCTCTCTTCTCTGATAGTGTTGGCATTTTGTTTCCATACAATATGATTCTTTTAACCATCGTTAACTTCATAGCAACTTCTAAAATGTTAAAACTTATTTTGTTGTTCAGATGAAAAAGATCGAAGATCCTATCAATGATGCAACATACAAAGACTTGTGGATGGCGACTGCTCAGGAGAACACCGACATCTACGACCAAGTCTTCTCTTGCATCCCGAATGAACATATACGCTCAAGGTACATACACTACTTCTCTTTTTATTTAACATTTCTTTTCCATAATATGAGATAGTGATCTAATGATTCTCTTGATCACAATTCTAAACACACAGGAATGCATTGAGACTAAACACCTCTCTTTTGAAAGACAAGTTGGGTCACACGACGATCGACCTTGGGATTGCACCAGAGAAGCTAAAACCATGCGGCAGCGACTCGTGGGAGAGGCTAAAGGAGACAAGAGGACACCTTGTGTGTTTCCCATTACAATTCATGTGTGATCAAGAAGATCTCAGACCGGTTTTCAATGAATCCGAGTTCTACACTGCTCCTCAAGTCTTCCATTGACCACTAATTATCCGGCTATCTTTTAACCGGATTCGGTGAAAAGAGGAACCAAGCCAGTTATTGAAAACTACATTAGATGGTTAAAGAATCTCACACGTTTATATAGAGTTGGTAGTTATATAGAAAGAGGGAATTTCCATTGACTGTTTCCTAGGTTTGCAAAGGTGTGTGTGAGTATAGGATTTTTGTGAATATTTATGTGCCTCAAGCTGTACAATACATCTTAAAGTATTCTTATAAAATAATAACCCGATTTTATTCCTAGGTTTGCAAATGGGTGGTGCAAATATAAAACCATTTTGGTTCTTATTGCTTTGAAGTTGATTTCTGTTTGGTTCTTGTTCGAAATGATTGTTTCCTCATCACAGGTTTCGATAATATCTTAAGAAGCTTCCTATACTCAGGATTAATGTTCTTCTGAGTCCTACTATACAATCCATTGATTTGACTGTGAATCCACATCTCAAATGCTCTCTCCCAGAGTTTGATGGAAATAACTCTCTTGAATATTTGGACCTCACTGAAACATCTCTTTCAGGTAACATACCAGACTCCATTGGCAACCTCTAACACTTGAAAGTTTTGAGAATTCATGATTGCAATTTGACAGGGAGGATTCCATATATTCAATTGGAAGTCTTTCTCATCTCACCTCTCTAACCATTTCTTCTTGTAATCTAAGTGGTGAGATTCCTTCTTCAATCGGAAACCTTTCTCAGCTCACCTTTCTCCACCTTTATTCTAATAACTTTTCTGGTGAACTCCCATCTTCAATCCAAAATCTAAACCAGATTATCAATTTAGACGTAGCCAATAACAAGCTTAGTGGCAACTTCCCCATTACACTACTCAATCTTACAAACTTGTCACAATTATCACCTCCAACAACCAGTTCTTAGGCCCATTTCCTCCTAACATGGGTTCTTCACTCTCCAAATTGAATTTCTTTGACGCAAGTACAAATTTTTTTGTTGGAACCATCCCTTATACTCTCTTTACTATTCCTTCTTTGGCTTCTATCATTTTGAGTGATCACAACCTCAATGGCCCTCTTGAGTTTAGGAATGTATCTAGACTATCTAAGCTACTAGACTTACGCCTCGACAATAACAATTTCTTAGGGCCAATCCCTAGATCCATATCTAAATTAGTCAACCTTCAGGAACTTGACCTTTCTCATTTGAACACCCAGGGTCCAGTTGATTTTAGTATCTTTTGTCGCTCCAATGTCTTACCTTATCCCACTTGAACACTACCACTACGATCGACTTGAATGCAATCTTATCATATTTGAAGATGCTCTATTCAGTGGATCTCTCAGGCAACCACGTTTCAGCTGCAAACATGAGCTCACTTTCAGATCCTTCAATGGCATTGAGTTACTTGAACTTGTCAGGCTGTGGCATAAGAGAGTTTCCGGGGTTTATAAGAAACCGACAACATGTGAGCCGATTAGACCTTTCAAACAACATAATCAAAGATCAAGTGCCAGGTTGGTTATGGAGTCTACCAGAGTTGGAGATGGTGGATCTTTCCAACAACAGTTTCACCGGTTTCGGTAGCTTCACAAGAGATTTCTCAGGAGCTCAGATAGATATTCTTGATCTGAGCAATAACAACTTCTCCGGAGAAATCCCCATATCAATATGTGGTATGATCTTATTAGAAGTCTTAGACTTATCAAACAACAACTTCAAAGGATCAGTTCCACAGTGCTTCAACATCATCATCAAGAAGTCTCTTTCAGTTTTAAACCTTGGTAATAATCACCTCAGTGGAAAACTACCAGAGATATTTATCAAATGCAGCAATCTAAGGTCACTTAACGTTGGTCACAACCAATTAGTGGGAAAACTTCCAAGATCTCTGTCTGATTGCTCACCTTTGGAGGTTCTAAACCTGGAACACAATGGAATCAAGGACGCTTTTCCGTTCTGGTTGGAATCTTTGCGAAAGTTACAAGTACTAGTCCTCCTCTCTAATGAGTTTCATGGGTCATTACAATATCATCCAAAGGTTGCTTCTTGGTTTCCTCAGCTACGAATCATCGACATATCACACAATGCCTTCACCGGAACCTTACCATCTAATTTCTTCATGTATTGGAGCGCAATGTCCTCGACCAAAGACCGTTCTGAGTTGAAGTACATTGGAGATAACACCTATTACCAAGACTCATTTGTTCTAATGAACAAAGGAGTAGAAATGAACTACACAAGAATCCTCACACTCTTAACCGCCATTGATTTTTCTGGAAATAGACTCAAAGGCAAGATCCCTGAATCCATTGGTCTACTAAAGAATCTTATCGTTCTCAATCTATCAAACAACGGTTTCAATGGCACCATACCTTCATCTATGGCGAATCTGACCGAGCTCGAGTCACTAGACTTATGCATAACAAGCTTTCAGGGCAAATCCCACCTACTCTCGGAGCCCTCACGAGTCTCTCGAACATGACCGTTTCCTATAACAAGCTCGTGGGTCCAATACCGCAAAGCGCACAGATTTAGACGCAGTATGCTTCATCTTTTGAAGGAAACGTTGGACTCTGTGGTCTTCCTCTCACTGAAAAATGCGGAGACGTCGATACAGAGCCAGGGTCAGAGGACGAAGAAAGGGTACTGAGCTGGACTGCAGCTGCCATAGACTTGACACCTGGAGTCATTCTAGGATTGAGTATTGGGTACATCGTCATTACACAAAAACCTCAATGGCTCATGAAGATCTCTGTCGCGATTCAGCCCAGACGCCGAGTATTGCGTTAGGTCGTTTCGATTGCGAAGGTATGCTCAATATTCAATCAAAAATTGCTTTTTTTCAGATGCAAATATTGTTGCAACGGATACATTTTTCCCCTTTGATTCACAGTTTGAAAAGAAGAAAAAACCTTAAGCGAGGAAGAAGGAAGACGAAGAAGAGGGGATTTTTTTTTTTTTGGGTCAACTTGGCCAAAGTCAAATTAAATTAGGGATAATTTGTCAAATAACTCAAAAAAAAAATTATAATTAGTAAAGTAGTCAAAACTCTCCTATGTGACATAACCACGACCATTAGATTTAAGTTTTTTTTGCTATTTAATTAATTTTTGTTTTTTGTGTTATTTGGCAAATTGACCCTATCGTTTTGTTATTTTACATATTTTTCTACAAATATTTGAATTTATGTGTGCGCTAAATTCGGTTCGCATTTAAACCATAAAATTCCAAGTAAACCGGTTGTGTTGTTTGAAATTGAATTCTAGAAATCTGGTTAGGCAAGAAAAAATATTCAATGCATATTTTTTTGACAATCTATTTACATCATTTTCTAGACCGGTCCCAAGACCATTACCTACTTACAGGTCGTGGCAGGGTGAATATGTTGTGTCGATGACGAAGAGGGTGAAGAATGGAAGAAGAGGCAAACGGCAGAGATATCATCCATGGCGATTCCGCGTCTCTTCCTATTCCAAGCTCTAACCGCTTGCGCCACCAGTCGTTTGGCCGCCTTTGGCCGATCCGCGGTCGAGGAAACAATGTCTATGGCCTCTTGGTTTGATATCACATCCCATACCTATGACATTTTTAGTTAATGATATTAAAGAAACAAAATATAAAATATATAACTTTGTATTCAAATGTTTTTTTACCCCATCGGTGGCCAAGATTACAAACTGGTCTCTAGTGGATATATGCCTTTGAGTGACTTCAGGCACTGAGACCAATCCGTACTCTTTGATACAATAGTCTCCAAATGCTCTCGACATTGCGAGCCCCGGTGATTCTTCTTCCGGTTGCCACACGCGGTGAACCCCTGGCTCGTCTTGGAGGCAGAATACTCTCCCGTTGCATCTGACTATCCGCTCTTCCTCTTCTGTTTTCACAAGAAACAAATATTAAAAAGATTCAGAATTGCTTAGCTAAGAGATTGAGATTTACAAGATGTATTTAGGCAATGTTTGTAAAATGCTTATGGAACTAACGGGGTAGATTTGGTTTGAAATCGACGGTGAGCTGAACCGCGACCAAACTTCCTTCGTCTGAAACCGTGGCCAATACCGCACGCGAATCCCCTACGTTTGCTATATAAATAAATTCACCCTGTAGAAAGAAACCATTCAAGAACATTGGTCATTAAACAGAGCAGCCTTTTTACAAGATTTTCTTCATGGGGTAATAATCTTGAGGGTCTCTTTACCTGTCTCACAACGGTTAGAGCCGTCGTGCCGCTGTTAAAAGAATCAATCTTTCGGTGATGCTCAAGCTCTTGATCAACATCTGCACATGTCTTGAGGTACAAGTGTTTCCAGATGGCGAACCGTTGTAGCTTTTTATCGGATTCGTCAAGGTCTGTTTCCGGTTCTGCTAAAGTGGTTTGAGACTGAGTCTCTTGCCAGTTACGAAGCAAAGATACAGGCATTGAGTTTCTGACTTGTTTAGCTACATAGTGACCCCAAGGACCATGTCCGTCGAATATCCCACAGAATATCATGTCTTCTTGACATCCGAAGCCCTGTTTGCAATTCAAGAAATGGTAAAGAAATGATGATCAAGTATCCGTGAATATGCGCTTAATGATCGAACAATCGGTTAGCTGTGTGTTCGGATTCTGTGAGATGTCAAGAGAGAAACAAGTATTTGGAAGGCTGTAAACAAACATAAACGCATATAATTGCGTCAAGCTTAGGTCTTTTGACTGGTGATAACCCTAGATACAGAGGAGCATTCAAAACAAGCTAGACACAAACACACGCAAAGAGAGTTATTTAAAGTTAACATCTTTGCACCTCTCAATATGCCTAAAATAAGCAAAAAGTGACCGAGAAATCGCGCTAAAGTAAACGCCAAGGTAATGTACCTCCCAGACGATGGCACAGTCCTGATTAACGCCTTTCTCACCGCGTCTGGAGAAAACAGAGGCCAAGTTATTGGATCCATCTGCATTAATGCAACCAGAGGATCTAAGAATCAGCTCCTTCTTCTTTGCCTCTCTCGCCATTTCATCTGCCGCTTTCTTCGGGTAGCTTTTGCCATTGCTGTTCTTCGCTTTCTTGATGGAGAAAGATCTAGCTAAGCCGCTGAACATGGAAGAGAAATGTCCCATTTTGCCTAGTAGGTGGAAATATCATATGATCTTGAAATCTGTAAGTTAAAGATTCATAAGAGTTTTTTCAGATAGTTGCATTAAATCAAATAGCAAGAGGGGATAAACTAATGTCAAAGTAGGAAAAATTCTTTTTGAGATTCTTTTTCCCGGGAAAAAACAGGGGACTAGAGATCATCTGAGGAAATTTAAAATAGTTAAAAGACAAAAGATTGTAATAAGAGAACATTCATGTGTTACATGGAATTCCATTTACATAAAGCTCTTAAATTTCTCTAGAATTGTTAAAAAATTGAACTTGAACGTCCTATAATAGAGAGAATAATAATGCATTTTTTCATAAAAAATATGAATCTGATCTGACTTGAAGCCAAATTGAGTTTTCACTTTTAAGAAACCATATCTTGAGAAGTAACTTACTAATATAGAAATCAAGTTGCAAGATTCTGAGATTTTCTCTTTTTTACTTCTCCGATAAAATAAGCAATAAAAAAACCTTCACATCTTAGAAAAATCTGGAAACTGAAATGCCTTTTGTTTATTATTCTCTTTGCCTAAATTTTCTGTTTTTGTGAAACATGATTGCCAACAAATCCACTAGATATGTAAGCTTCCAAATCTTTAAAAAAAAAAAAAGAACTTTTCAAATTGAAAAGACAAATTCAGCAGCAAGAAAGTAATTGATTCGAATAGTTCGAAAACAGTCATTTTAATACTCAACTATCCGTTTTTTATATAAAATAAAAAGCCTTCACTTACTGTATTTACAAATTCAGAACTAAAGAGTAAATAATACTGAGAAATTAATAAAATTTCTGGAAAAATATCAGAATTTTTATATCAGAGAAGGTACAGATTCGAATTGCACCAAAAGTTTTCTTAAAACACACAAATCAGCACAGAATCAGAATGTACAGGGGAAGAAAAAAGAGAGAGAGAGCTTAGGAGGAACTGACGTAATACACACCGGTGAGATGACGTAAGCTCGGAGAAAGTGACGTAATACACAACAGAAAGAAAGCTAATGGAGCAGGTAGAGAGACAGAGAGAATTCCATTTAGTGACTTCGAAGATATAATAAAATGGAGAAATTAAAGAAATTTGAGGAAGAGAAAAAAATTAGAAATCTCTCTAGTTTTATTTCTTGGGTA